TCGGATAACAGCCCTAATAAAAAATAACCATAAACGAACGATAACCCAAATCATTGAACTATTCCACAAATGGTTTGGATGATACCCAGAACACGTCGTTAAGCAAATTAACCATACAATTTTTATTAGGGAGGGTTATTCTAAAGAGCCTAAATTTATAAAGAGGCGACATGTCAAAATTGGGACAATCGATTGTTTGTCAAAGTCATAGGAAAAGTCATTCCAATCGAGCAGACGACCTGTCAAATAGATAAGATGTCGTCTCTTTATAAATTCAGGCTCTTTAGGTTATTCGATAACTTTCCATCTGTCAAATTTTGTAATTGTTCAGTGCATAGGCTGTGCCTTCCGCTAAAAAGGCTTATCTAGGGACCAACCCCCTAGTCTATACACCTACTGTCCTTCCCGTTGCACTCGTCAGCTCGTGCGATACTCTAGACACACATGGGTGGTCGTATCCGGGTCCTCCCCTGGGTAGGCTCGTGTCCGTCCAGGTTCTGGTACATTAACTTATCTATATGCATGGTAATTATACTTTTAAAACTCACCTTTTGATTATAATGTCGAAAATGCTGAAACTAAGTAAAGGTTAGCGATCCATATAAGGTGTGTGCTGCGACGGAGTAGTAATTGAAGGAAATGAGGTTCTGATGTGAAGTATAGGTAATTCTAAAATAGGTAAATCAATTAATCATTAGCTGCTAACAGTTACTAATAAATGGGTACGATAAATCACTCATCAATGAGTATTGCCACTCCCACTGAAAAATGGGCAAAACCTTAATCATAAATGGATATTCGATTCCTACCGTGTATTTAAAGTTAAGTTAGGATCTCATCAAGCAAGCACACACCTTTTACGATTCTTATCCTACTTACGGCTTCCTGCACATACGACTTTTCCTAGATACAAGCCTCGTCCAGTATACATTGGCTGTCTCCAACCGGCATGATTCTTTATGTCTGGTTCCTCTTGCCGGTGCAAGTTTAATTCTTCCTTTCTTGTTCGAATTTTTCCTATTGATCTTTTGTTCGTGTTCCATTTGTCCTCAGGCAGTTAATATTAGTACATTATATGAAGAAAGAAAGAAATAGAACAAGTTAAGTGTGAGCCGCATGCATTGGTTACTTATTTGGGTCATGGTGTTGTCTTCCCTATTTATTTGCCTCTATTAGTTCTCATATCGCAACGTTTAACTAACCCCCCTCCCTCACACTATTATGGTCGGAAAAGAGAACCCATATTTAGTAATCTATCGCGAACTGCGATGCAGAAGATATTAATAGCAAACTAATCTGGAACTGCACGGCGAATGAGAACGACTCAAATTTGAGTTTAGTTCACTCATAATCGCCAAAAGTGCAGGAACTCAGCGATGAGTAAAATTTGTCCCATGGTTTCCTGTGGAAAACCTTAAAAATCTGCCGGAAAATGAGGAAATTGACGAAAATTTTATTCAGTCTCGGAGTAGTACCAATAGACTGAGTGAATCCAATCTTTACTTTTCTCAAATTCGCGAATTTTTCCCTGGAAAATCCTGGAAAAACCTGGGAAAACATGAGGCAAATTAACTCATCGCTGAGTTCCTGCACTTTTGGCGATTATGAGTGAACTAAACTCAAATTTGAGTCGTTCTCATTCGCCGTGTGGTCTAAGACATATGACCCAGTGAGTATTGACACCTCACACTGTTGTGAATGAGCACGGACGCGAGATTTAGGCTGTGAACCATTTGCCGAGTTAAATTTAACTCGTGGTTAAAAGTGACATTTCGAAAGTTATTTTCTATGTTCGAAAATCCCTGTGCTGTCGATCGACCGGTTTTCGAGCCACGGTTGTCAAAATTTAACTTCTTGTCTGTCAGAAATAACCATGCTCGGATAGCAGGGTTAATCGATAACTTTCCATCTGTCAAATTTTAACCAAAAGTTAAAATAATCTACCAAATGGTTCAGAGCCTTACTAGAGTATTAAGGCTCTGAACCATTTGGTGGATTATTTTAACTTTTGGTTAAAATTTGACAGATGAAAAGTTATCGATTAACCCTGCTATCCGAGCATGGTTATTTCTGACAGACAAGAAGTCAAATTGTGACAACCGTGGCTCGAAAACCGGTCGATCGACAGCACGGGGATTTTCGAACATAGAAAATAACTTTCGAAATGTCACTTTTAACCACGAGTTAAATTTAACTCGGCAAATGGTTCACAGCCTAAATGCAAAACGCAAATTCAAAACAAAACTTGACAAGACATCGTCAATCCCCCCATTCTTGGGCAGGGCCTGACGATGTGAATCCGATTTTGATCAGTGAACGGGCCCCATATGGTACATTTTCTCACTATGAACCTGTCATTTCCAGCCTATCTGAACTATTTAATAAATGGAAACCATAACATGGGTTACGCTCCTCCTAAGCGGGCCCTCCGCATCCTATCTCTATCTTATCTCAAATGCCAATGGTTTGAATGTATCAATATATACATAGGAAATGACGTTCAATCAAATAAACCCATACCCCACTCACTTGGCCAGTCCTCAGAATCGTCCAGTGGGCAGTGCGCTCTACACTCCAAGTTCCCTTTCTTTCAAATTCACCCCAAATTTGATATTTTACCCATTTGAGTGTTGATTAATCACAATGAAACATTGTGACAGAGCACGGACTTGAGGTTACTAGAGTATTAAACAATCTAGGTCCTATTCAGGATTATATCTGAAAAATCCAAATTTGGCCAACGCCCACCATAACTTTCCATCTGTCAAATTTTAACCAAAAGTCAAAATATAGACTTCTCTGACGTTTATGAATTGCACAAGTATTAGTGCAGAACTTTGGGTGAATTCAAAGGTTTTCTTGCACTAATACTTATAATTTACCCAAAGTTCTGCACTAATACTTGCGCATTTCACAAACGTCAGAGAAGTCTATTCCACCAAATGGTTCAGAGCCTAAGGTCCCTTTAAACAAACCACCTTGAAGCGGTGGATGTAGTTCATTCAGGACGGCCAAAACGCAACCAGCACCAAGCCGATTACCATCCCCAGGTAGCGATAATCACGGGCTACTTAGAGTTGGCTATATTCTCTTTGCTCTGTCATCATCATCACTGACACTAGCGACTTATAAACAATAGTGCATTATTGACGACGATGATCGACCGTTATTGTTTGCATTACTGACGGCAAATATCACCGCCAACAATCCCACCGGGCACCGCCTGGAGGTAAGAATCGGAGTTCAGATGCACAGAGGTCGCAAATCGACTGATCAGCTGGCAGAGCCCGACAACCATTGATACATAGAGGTAACTCTAAGACAAGTAGGTCCCGAAGAAACGTGCTCAACTTTTTGGCTCACCTCTGGTACTATCTTCGGTCCCAAGCTTGTCGAATCACCCATCGAAACATAGGAAAAACCAATAACCCCTCATTTTATCTGTCAAACTTTCATAGCGAATCAAAACAAACATTGCGTAGTACTAGAATTTCGACTAGAATAGGGTACGTTAATCGTTTGCTTGGGACCAATAGGCTACTAAAGTGGTGAGCCAATTTAAAATCGTTAGTTTCGTATTGATTGTTGATTGATATGCGTTCTTATGCACCTGCTTTACCCGGGGGGCGGTAGTGTGTAAACGTCAAACGCAAGGGAATTAACTATGAGAGTCACAGGTGGCGGTAATACCATAGAGGTAACTCTAAGACCACTGGGTCCCGAAGAAAATCATTATTATTTTTGGCTCACTCAGTACCAGAACAACGGTCCCAAGCAGTCCCAAGCTATTTCACTCACCCCTGCATGTTCTGCATGAATCCACACACCCCTGATGTTATCTGTCAAACTTTCATAGCGAATCAAAACAAACATAGTGTAGTAATAGAATTTCAACTAGAATAGGGTGCGTTAATCGTTTGCTTGGGACCAATAGGCTACTAAAGTGGTGAGCCAATTTAAAATCGTTAGTTTCGTATTGATTGTTGGTAATACCATAGAGGTAACTCTAAGACCACTGGGTCCCGAAGAAAATCATTATTATTTTTGGCTCACTCAGCACCAGAACAACGGTCCCAAGCAGTCCCAAGCTATTTCACTCACCCCTGCATGTTCTGCATGAATCCACACACCCCTGATGTTATCTGTCAAACTTTCATAGCGAATCAAAACAAACATAGTGTAGTAATAGAATTTCAACTAGAATAGGATACGTTAATCGTTTGCTTGGGACCAATAGGCTACTAAAGTGGTGAGCCAATTTAAAATCGTTAGTTTCGTATTGATTGTTGGTAATACCAACTACGATACTTTTAAATTGACCGTTAAATGCTTGTTCGATTAACAACTTGCGAGTGTTATGTCTGTTTGTCTGTGGATTTAGAGTCGAAAATTAAAAATTTATATCTTGATTTAACAATCGAGATGGATGTCTATGGGATCGATAAAAATATCGATGTACTTAGAAAATGAAGCTCTTTTAGATGATGTATAAAAACCTGTAAGTTTTTCGAAGTCAATGCAAATTCGTAATCTGCAAGAACTATTCCACAACCGTAGAAAGTATGAGCATGTCAAACGCGCACTCCTTTGCCTAAAATCTCCTCACCCATCAAAGTGTGAGTTGGGTAAAAAAGGGCGCATTTGATTAGTATTGTCCCATTAATGGCCCTTCGCTCAATTTTCACACTGCCGTACTCTAACGGAACCATAAATCTATCGTCTTCAGAACGTTCTCTAGCTAACAAATTATCGCACTACAGCTTCATGTTGATATTAGTTTTGCATTTCTGCCCAACTCTGAAAATCGTAAACTTCACGTATGAAGTATCAAAACACTTTGATTGAATGCATAAGGGGTTGTTCATAAACAACGTAGACGGTTTTTGAGAGACAGTCATTTTTGTTCTTCCGAAAATGATCCTTCAACTGCTGCTGTTACTCGAGCTCAATGCCAATCTGAATATATACCAAGAATGTCATCAAAAAAAACGATCACCATCTTCAAGATGCCATATTTATTATATGTCGTAAACATTCTAAACGCAACCTTACCGCCAGAAGCACGTTCGTAAATGCTTGTCACCAATAAACCGCACGGTTTATCTTTCTAGTGCTTTCCCTTCTTCTTCTTGTGTTGATTCTTCCTCGGAAGCTGCCTGGGACCAAGAGCAGACGTTGGCATTTCGTGTGCGGCCGGGGTGGCCGGTGACTGCTTGCTCTGATTGTAGGCCTTGCTCATGTCACTGGAGAAAAGAGAAGTGAAAGAATTGAAATTCAATGCTGCGGTCATTTGCCCGACAAGCGAAAACTTACTATTGATCGGCCTGTCCGGAGGACGTTCCCTGACTGCCCTTGATGATTTCCTTCACGCGGCGATCGCGCTTCTTACGATAGCCGGATCGTTCGTAGCGTGGCAGCCACCGTTCCGGATCGGGAACAGCACTCGCATCGTAGTTCTTCGGGAGTTTGCCTTTGCGTTTGCGGACGGTTTTCTTCTTCTGTTTGGCCAGTTCGCTGCTCGGAGTACCCGGCGATTGATCCGTTTTGCCCGAGGCGGGCATCTTCTTCTTGACGGCTTTGGCAATCATCATCCAGTTGGTCGCTTCCAAGGCATCGATTTCCGACGCAGTGGTGAGGGTTTCCAGGGCAGGCAGTTTCTTACTAGCTTCCTGAGCCTTTTTCGGGTTAAACTGGGCATACGCAATGACCAGCTGAGCAAGAATCTTCATATCGGAAGGATTGGTCTTCAGTAGTTCTTCCAAGCTCTTGGCAGCGGTTTCCGATTCACCGCCGCGTAGATGGAAGCTTGCGGCTTGACGCCACATGTCGGTTAGATCACCTCCAGCGGTAGACTTGTTCTTTTTGTACCATTCGACCGCATTCTTCAGAATACCGGAAGCAGCCGTTTTGTTGTCCAGACCGAGATATAAGGTAACCAACGCGGACACAACTCCCGGTCGATACTTGGCTTCTCCAAGACCTTCCAAAATTTCCACGGCAGCCTTTCTGTTCCCGGCCAACAGATGAAGCTGTACGATAGCAAACTTGACTTCCAATTCCTGGTTCGGTTGCTTCTTGGAATAGTTTTCCAGCAACTCGATGGCATCCTTATATTTCTTATCTCTTGCCAGCTGGCTAACACGAATCAGCAATGATTGGAATTCCAAATCTGAATGCGAGTTACCCAAACGGCTTGCCAACATATGACAGTCCGATTGATTGGTGAAGAAGGCCAACAAACAGTTGTTGAATGAGATCAACTTCTTCTGCTTAGAAGTCAGCTTATGCTCAGCTTGTTCCGAAGTTGCAGCCTTCATCTTCTTTTTCGAATCAAACATGTTCTGATCCTTGTTGATGACCACAAGATTGTTGCTGGCCACCGCCGTTAAAGCGTGATCATTGGTTTTATGCTTCAATGCGTCAGCATAGATCGCGGAAGCTTCCTTAGACTTACCTTGCATCTGCAGACAGTACGCCAATTGTACCTTAATGATCGCCACCTCATCCATGATGTCTTCCTCCGTGGCGCCATCTTCTTCCAGGAACTCTCGGCACATCTTCTCACTGGAACGTAGCTTCTTCTCCGCCTCTGGGAACTGTTGCTTCCCAGCCAAGGCACACCCGGCGTTGTACGTTAACTCGTACGTATCTTCACGCAGAGCCAGCAGCTCCTTCTTGGAACCTTCCCCGCAAAGATTGGCCACAACAGCACTCAGATTGGTTGTTCGTTCATCGTCGTAATCGTCGCTGGTATTCTTGATAATATCCTTGTATAACTCGAAACATTCTTCGTAGTTCTCCAAACTGAAACCGATATCGTGAAAAAAAAACATAATTCTACAGAATTGTACCATAATTCACCTACCGATAGAGAATCTGCGCCATCAGTTCCTTCAGGTTCGGTGGCAACGGTTTGATGTCGCTGTCCTGGATCGTCTTCAGCGCAGCCTCCGGCTGGTTCAGCCGGTACTCGCAGTAAGCCCGCTCGAAGGTACAGTCATGCGAAGACTGCGTGCGATCGAGGAACTTGAGCACCTCTTCGAACTTGGACAGCTGAATCAGACAAACGAGCTTGCATTGGAGTGCCTTGAGCTCGTTTTGATCCAAGGCCAGAACTGAAACGGTCAGGTTAAAGGTCAGAGCAGGAAGCAATCGAAAGCATAGCACAACTCGGATATGTTCCAAACATGACACTTTGGGATCGTAAAAGCCTTAAGTAAATTGGGGGTCGTTTGAATAAGCCGATGGAAATGGTTTCTGCGCTTATTGGCCACCAGATGTAACTGCTGTTGTTAACAGAAAATCTTAGAAATCTCTTATACAGACTACAATATAGAGTACAAGACATTGCAAAATATGTCTGGTCCCTGTCTATTAATTTAGATTAACATCCGAAGTCCAAAGGATTTCCCACCGTTTTTTTATGAAAGGGCGGGGCTTAGAAAATATCCTGTACATAAATAAGGGTACCGACAACCTTTTCAGTGCCAGGTACTCTATCCTGAAGTCTGTGAGAGGGAAATCACAAATCGAGTGTCATCAAAATACATGTTGAGAGATTGAGCTAGTGAGAGAGAATAGTCCAAATCACGATGGCGTCACTCATCAGATTTGACAGATACTGTAGCCTTTGTGTAATGGACGTTTTTGTGAATTCATAGTGTTGAGCAAGACCAAGTGTATGATTGTTTCTAAAAAGGATTACAGTTGTTTAAGCGGTTAATACGAAGAATTATCATGCCTGTGAACAGTTGCGTATGAAAGTGCAAGTTCACCGCGGACAACCTTCCACGGAACTAACATATCCTGATTCATATTCCTGCAATTGACTGGGTTTCCGGAAAATGGTGATCGGTGGTTAAGTAAGCCGGTAGTAACCGTTGATGGAATGTCCATCGCGTTCATCTTAATGCCATATGGATCCATCAAATTGATTGCACTTATTTTCTCTTCGTATCTCCGTTTAACATCATCGGGCATTCCGTGAATGAGGCCACTCTTGATCCTGGATGAAGAATTGAGCAGCACGTTATCCAAACGGAGTGAATGATATAAAAAAAAAACTACAAGGGAAAGCCCTATGGGGTTGTACGCAATGGTGACGTAGGACTACGTGGTCTTATATAATAAATGTTATTGGTTAACTGCAGCAGGAGGATGTGTTTTGTGTAGGAATAGGAATTTGAGCGGGGTTCTCTCTGTTTATACTCATTAGGATGACCCGCTTGGCATAGATGGCCCACAGCGACTCACGAAGAGCTATTGATTCCGATCGGTAGCGGTGCGGCTTCTTCCTCCTTCCAATGGATGCTCATGTGGGCTGCAGCTTGCTGCTTGCAGACAGCCTTTTGTGTACTGGAGAACACCACCACTCACCACGCGGTGATTGAATAAACACCGTTCGATGAGACCGGATGGAATTCAACTTTGAAATCTGTGTTAAGGCCCACGCACATTAGATCCGGATCCGACGCGTTGCGGCAAAGTGACAGCTAAATCTATTGTCTAACTGTCTAAATCTACGTCAACGCAACGCAAACGGATCTAATGTGGGTGTCCCATTAGGGAAAACGCTTTTCGCAGGCAATCGGTAATAATTTCAATTATCATAGCAACAATTGCACATTCGTGCAATTTTCAGTAGTGACAAAATGATAAAGTCTTGAATTCAACAGATGCGTAAAAATATTTCTGATCGATTGGTGATAAACTTATTGAAATAGGTGTAGGGGCAGCTGAGTTATTAACGTTCAAAATCTTTCATAATTTTGTTAAATGTTCCATTTTCAGTTTTCACAAAGTGTACCCCCATATAGAAATCACAAACGTAGTCCTACGTCAAAAAAGTCCAAAACGTAAACAAAGGTGCCACTATCTGTCAAAAGAGTTAGGTTAAATGATTTAGTGATCTGGCCTGTAGTGTGAGCGACAAAGTAGCTTATTCTCTTAGTAGAAACAGGGTAACCAGTGAACCGCAAAATCGGGAAAACCAGGAAAAAGTTGGGAATGTGGATAACAAATCGGGTAAAAATATACTTCATTTTCTCTTTGAGAAAAACAAGATTTTGGACCTTAATAATATTTCAAGACCCTTGGACTCAGCCCAGTGGCAGGCACGTAGGCAACATTTTATACCGTGACAGCGGGTCCAAAACAGCAAAATAAACTATTTGAGCCCGGGACATGCTGCCTACTGTCAAACGCTGCTGATGGTATAGGCCTTGTCACTGGCCTGCTTGGATTGGACTAGATTTCAGGATGCAGTCACTTTAAAGAACTATTAAGAGAATGTTAGAAAAAAAAAATCCCAAGCAATTTTGAGCATATTTTAGAGATGACACTAAGGTATTCCAGTGAAAGTGCCCTACGGAAGTTTTGAGGTGAACTCTAAGATGGTCTGCACTTAAACTCCAATTCAATTAATCCAGTAATTTTGTAGCTCTGTGGAAAAATCCATGGCGAATGTGAAGAAGATTCGCGGAGGAGTTTTAAGGAAATTCCGAGGATGATTTCAAGGGCATCTCTAAAAGAATTTCTAGATCATTTTAACGAGAATTCCAAGTGAGTTTTCAGAAGAATTCAAAGGGCTACAACTACAAGATAATTCTGAGTAATATTTTAAAACAATTCTGAGGTGCATTGCATGAGAATTAAGAAACTAAGGAGAATTCAAGCGAATTAAATAAAATGGAAGGAAGCTCTAGTAGATTATTAGAAAAAGTTTAAAATTCAAAGGTAATCTAAGGACGAATTTCATGATTTTTTTTTGAGTGTTATGCAAAGAATTTCTGGACTGTTATAAAGACATTTTCAAGGCACTCCCAAAGAGAATCTTAAATATATTGTAGAAGAATTCGGAGAAGAACTCTGTGAAGGGAAATGATTTAAAAGGAAATGCTTAAGAACAATCCAATTAAATCCTGTTATGTTTTGAGCGAATGTTACTAGACAAACTTTGAACAATTCGATCGCAGAAACAAATTCAAGATCCAGGAAAAAACTTGGTCTTAGTAATTTAACCTCTCTTCGGTTCAATCGCATTTTTTTTATTGCTTAATTTGATATCACACAACCGGGAAAATTTTCAAAAATTCCGGGAAAAAACTGGAAATTGATAATCTTGCCATGTAGTACGATTGAAATCAAAGTGTATGAGAATGAACTGTTTTATTGATTTTACAGTTAATTAACAAGTAAATTTTAAAGTTGAAGTTCCAAACAACGTAGATATTTACTATCTCTATGCACTTGGCCACGTGAATTCTCGATTACTGCTTGTAATTATTGACAATAATTGATGCCTATGCGCATCGCTTAATTGCATACATGTATATTGTAACAATAAAAATTATATATGTATTACTGTGAGAAATGCCAAAATCTAATGAATTTATAAGTTGCATTAGTGTAAAAAATATTGTATATTGTAAACAGGACTCTTCAAAATTGCGGAATCGCTTAAAAAAGAGCGCTTTTACGTTGTATCGTCTTACTGTCTCCTGCACGCTTATACCTTATGAACCAGGGAATAAGTGTGCCGAAGTAGCCAACACGAGCGTTTCGCATTTTAAATTATAAGTTAGGGATAGAGAACTCAATAAAAACATGGAACAAACCCACCACCACATTACGGTTTCACCCACGGTCACTCACTTTTGTTGGCCGACTTGAGAGCCTTCTCGTACTCCCCGTTGGAGCCCTGTTTGTTCAGTTCCGTGTAGAGCTGCCTTATGGTCGCTTCCCTATTATCATTCTTAGACATCGTAATTCCCGGCACTGGCTTCACGTTTGCACTGCAATAACCACAGGAAATTCACTAAAAATCACGAAAATGGACTCGTCTCGCGAGCAGGTTTTACTTTTCCGTTCACTTCGTGTAATGTTGACAGCTCTTTCTTGCCGTGCTCTCGAATGACAACTTGGCACTGGATTCAGACGCTTAGCCATAACGAACGTCGAATCTATAAAAGCTTGAAGACTGCGAAATGTCAAACGATGACGTCGTGAGATCCGTCAAAATCACATGATGATTGTTTTCAATCAGTCATGATTCAATGATTGAGAAGTTTTGCATATTGCGAGTTGCATTTTTATAATTTTGCTAAACATATCCACGAAAATCTAAAATGCCCGAAACTCGCGAGGAAGTGTGCCAGCTGATGGATAAACTTCTGCTCCACTCGCTGGAACTGATGGAGCAGGAAGTGCGACTGAAAACCACCATTGAAGCGGTGACCAACGAAGGCCAGCTGGATTTGGCGTATACCCGTTTCACGAAAGGAGCCCACACGGTGTCGGCCGTGCAGCTGCCGACCGAGGATTACAAGGACTTCAATGCGCTGAATTCGCTGACCGAGAAGACGGACGAGCTGGGTAACCGGAAGCTGGAACTGGATCGCCATCCGGTCGACAGGGAAGCGGGCTTCATTGATCCGGTCAGGTGGTTTGGAATTTTGATACCACCAACGCTGCAGACGGCACGGGACAAGTTTAGCCGGGCGCTGGAGTACGTGGTTGAGTGTGGCAATGTGCAGATTCAGTTGCGAAATGTGCTGTTGAACTATGCTAAGTTGAATAAAAAGAAGGTGGAGCTTTAAATAACGATTGTAATTTTTTTTGTTTCTTTGGTATACATACCCTGAGCCGTATGAATAAAACATGTTTACTTTACTTTCCCGTGCTTTTCTTACGGGAAAAGTAAAGTAAACGCTTTTATTCATACGACCTATCATCAGAATTAAAGTATCCCTACACGGCGAATGAGAACGACACAAATTTGAGTTTAGTTAACTCATAATCGCCAAAAGTGCAGGAACTCAGCGATGAGTAAATTTGCCTCCTGTTTTTCTGTGGAAAACCGCAAAAATCTGCCGGAAAATGAGAAAATTTACCTCAATCTAGGAGTAGTATCAATAGTAAGCTGAACTCAAATTTGATTCGATCTCATTCGCCGTGTAGGTATGCTCCACAGTATTCCCTATAAGTATTTTCCAAATATTTGCAGGAAAACCTTCACAAAACGATTCTTCAAAACTTTCCTAGAAATTCTCATCAGCATTTTCCTCGAAATTCGCTTGAAATGTTACCATCAGAAGAACTTTCATATTCTTCTTCCCTAATAAAAATAACCATAGAAGAGAGCAAAACCATCCCGTGAAGGTTTTATACAAAAATATGCATTCTGGAAAAACTTGCTTGAACGCGGCAGTCCATTGCAAGAACTACCATTACATTTGTTGTAATGTTGGTGGTACATACAAAAAATGTAATGGCAATTCTTGCAATGGACAGCATTACAAGCATGTCTTTTTAGAATACACATTATTGTATAAAACCTTGATGAGCGAGTACACGCAAAACAAATTTCTGTTACATCCAATGTAAGGTTGGATTTATTACATACTCTGCATATTGATGATACAATTCATACACCAGCATAATTAGTAGGACTGTAGAGAACTCATGTAACTTTCATTGCGCATGAACACTCCATGCGCTCATCTGATGCTTTTAAACCACCTAAAATTTTGAAATAATCCTCTCTACTGAAGTTCAGGGAAGTCATATCGTACTTCAGAGAAGGTCTGCTGAGCTTCAGTGAAGTCTTGACGAAGCTCGTGACGAAGTTCAGGGAAGTCCTGCCGAAAGATCTGCCGAATTTGGTTTATTTTCACAGTGGTGGATCCAGGATGGTGAATAATTTTCAAAATGGTGGATTAACAATTTGGTTTATAAAATATTTCATTTAACAATGGCAGAGGTGGGTGAATTCTAAAATAGTCCAATTTATATAATTATCTTTAAAAATATCCAGATACAGATATATCAGAATACCTCCATCAAAAAGGCTGGAATTTTCACAGAATATCCTCAAATACTCATGAAACAATTTGTGAAAATTGAGGAACTGTTTTGATTTGAAACATATTTCCTTTAGCAATTGGAAAGGTGGGTGATTTCTAAAATAGTTCGATTTATCTAATGATCTTTAAAAATATCCAATAAAAAAAAAAATTCAAGTATCGATAATTTTCACAGAATATTTCGAATTAAAAAACTAAAAGATATCTAACAATATTCATCAATTCAGTGCCAACATTTCAAAGGGGCGTAATTGCATTTGTAAACAATGGCTTTAGCAGTCGATTTCTCGCGAATAAATGCTCAGTCATGAAAAATAATGACACCAACAGGTATAGGAATGTTTCCTCTACCAGTTAGCGTTGTTATTTTGGAGGGGTGAACTTTTAGTTGTGAGAAATCGACAGCTAAAGCCATTGTTTACAAAAGCAGTTACGCCCATTTGAAATGTTGGCACTGAATTATTGCGAACGAAAAACGTCACGCGCGAGCTCGATCATGCTCTTATTAGCCCATGCATTATCTGTCAAAAAACCCGAAAACGTATCTATTATTATTATCTCTATTTAGAAGATTTTCAGCCGCAGGCTGGTTCATCTCCGGAAAAAACGTATCTATTGTGCGCCGGCCTTAATTCATTCATCGATCGCCCCGTTGTGTGGCTTGTTTTTTTCGCTTCTCTGTTTTGTGCGACCGCTCCAAATCACATCGTTCTTCCACCTGGAGACTGCTTCCCGCATAAACGCGAACCATCACATGACCTTACCGATAATGGTTATAAATTGTTTATAATCCCTGCTAAACTTCAACTGAAATGGTTATGGAACCTTACATGAACGTTTGTGTGATAAAGTTTTAACCTTATGTGTTATGGTTTTTTGGAAGCGGACCTTACAAATAATGGGTTGTTAAGAACCATTACCATTCCAAATTCTTGTTTTCTCCATACATTTTCGGAAAGAGAACTATATTAGAACGTTTTTACTTATGGTTTGAGAACATTAATGGTTATGGTTATGGTAGTCAGTAAGGTCCATTAATGGTTTTGTATTATCACTCAACTTTACGTGAAATATATCGTGAATTGGTAATCAGTAATTTACAGGCAACCAATTCGCGATATATTCCACATAAAGTTGATCGATGTTACAAAACCATTCATGGACCTTACTGGTTACCATAACCATTACCATTAATGTTCTTAAACCATAAGTTAAAAGGTTTTAGTAAAGTTTTCTTTCCGAAAATGTATGGAGAAAACAAGAATTTGGAATGGTAATGGTTCTTAACAACCCATTATTTGTAAGGTCCACTTCCAAAAAACTATAATACTTAAGGTTAAAACTTTATCATTAAACGTTCATGTAAAGTTCCATAACCATTTCAGTTGAAGTTTAGCAGGGATTATAAACAATTTATAACCATTATCGGTAAGGTCAATTTATGGTTTGCGCTTATGCGGGTTACTAGACTGATGCAAAATTTGAGATTGTCGCTCCACAGTGCTCGAACGGTTCCAAATCGGGTCCTGATTAGCCATCCAAAATTGGAACTCATTTGGTAAGAAACTGACTTAGCACAAACCTTTTGAATTTTATATCGAAATTACTCTGGGAAATGCAACATTTTTATTCATTGTCTTCTAGCCTTTAACAGCCTTCAGGGTAGTTCGTATATCTTGAGAACAAAAAGTACAAAACTTCAGAAAATTTAACAGAAATTAAAAAAAAAAATTGCAGAAATTCAGAAAAAAAAAAACTCACAAGAGAGATCGTAGATCTTCAGATAAATGTTCAAAGAAATTTTCAAAAATTCAAGCAAGCTAAAATATATTCAGATCAATTTGTAAAACTATAAGCGAAATTTTGCAAATCTTCAGGAAAATTCGTAGAAACTCAGACAAGCCCAAGAATCTACAGTCAAATGTAAAGTATTTCACAGAAGTTTGGAGATCTACTGAAAACAATATTGGACATCAGAAACGTTCGTAGTTCTTCAGAACAAAGCTACAGAACTTTGAAAAAATTAACAGAACTTCTGGAAAACTCACAATAATGGTCATAGATTTTCCGATAAATTTGAAGACCTTCAAGAAAGTGTGCATATTTTCTGATATATTTTTAGAATCTCAGAAATTAAAAAAAAAACTTTCAGTAAGATTTGATGAACTACAGGGAAGTTCGACGATTTTTTTTTAAATTTATACGATTTTAGAGAAATTTGAAACTTTAAGGAGGCTCAAATATTTTCATATAAATTTTGAAAAGTTTTTTAAATTTAGAAGATCTTCAGGGAATTTTCATGGATCCTTAGGGTAGCCCGAGAGCCTACAGAAGAATTTACAAAACTTCAGAGAAGTTTTCAGATCTACTGAGAAATTTATTGAGCCTCAAGATTTTTTATTTTCATAGATCTTGAGAAACTTTAAATATATTTGCAGAACTTCTGAAGAATAGATATTAAGAGAAATCTGCAGAACTGCAAAGAATTTTGCAGATCTTCAGGAACATTCAGTGGTTCAGAAAGCTTCAAAGTTTCAGAAAAATGTGAGACCTTTAATTCCAAAAACAAGTGGAAAGTGAAAGTCAAACATTTTGCAGAACTCCATGGAAGTTGGAAATAGATAGATCTGAAGAACTTCAGAGCAATCCGTACACTCTAAGAGAAGTCTGTAGAGCGTCAGGAAGTTCGAAAAATTTGTAAAATTTCAGCAAAACTCACAGAACTTCAGGAAAGTTCGATGATCTTTAGAAGTATTTACACAACTTCAGAGAAATTCGTAAATCTTCAGAGACATTTTTAAAACTTCATTGAAGTTCAAATATTGCCAGATAATTTGTAGAGCTTTGGGTAATTTCAAAGAATTTCCGATAAATCTGCAGAGCTTTATGGGAATGCAAGAATTCACAAAGAAATTTACATAACTTAAGAAAAGTTCGGAGATCTACTGAGAAATTTTTTGAACTTGTGAGCAGTTCGTAGATCCTCAGAGCAGAAATACAGTACTTCAGAAAACTTTACAGAATTTAAAGGAAATTTTAGGCACTTCAGAAAAGTTTAGAGGGTCGATCGTAAATCTACTGAAAAATCTGCAGATTTTTAAATTACTGAATTTTATTGCGGTTCTTGGATTTTAAGAGAAATTTACAGAACATTGTAACATTGCAGGTTTTATCGAGGTTTTGTAGCATTCTACAAGTCCAAATCATGGTCTACAGAACCCTTATAAAACCAAAATTGTTACTTGGGAGCAGGGTTGCTTCCACTCACTTGCTATAAAAATTTGTTTTTCTGAATTATGAAATTATTAGATGATGTAACAATTTGTTGTACTTGTAGTAACAAGAATAGGGTGTGAAAGTATGTGTTTGACTCATAAAATCTGTCAATTTCGCTTGCAGAGCGTCACAATCAGCGATCGTATGATTCGTGAGCGTTCACTCAGAGTGAGCGCTCACGAATCGTAAAATCGCTGATTGCGACGCACTGAAAGCAATATTGACAGGTTTTATGTTTCAAACACATACTCAACAACCACTTCTTGTAGCTTACAAGTACTAATTATAATTATAACATATAGTGATTTCATAATGCTGAAAAACAATTTTTTATAGCAAGTGAGTAGAAGGAACCCTGCTTGGGAGGTTAGTTCTTTAGTTTAGGTTCTAGTTAATTCTTTAAGGAATTGTGTAGATGTTCAGAGATATTTGCAGATATTCATTGAATCGTAAAAATCTACA